ATGTACCAGTGTATTAATGAATTATGAATGTATGACTCCAATCTTGTCCTTCATTACAATTGCTTAACACTGTTTCTTTCAAAACATTGCATTAAAAGGGTGCTTGACATGGCTATCACTGTTTCAATTTTACAGAGAAAACTTTCTTACCTCACAAAGTGTAGATCCTAAGCAACCATCACATTTTCACTTTGTTCCATCATTGAAACTTTCCCAAGGGGAAGTGCATGACCTTTCAAGAGAGGTGGAAAAATTCTCAGGGGAGGTGCAAAACGATCTCTGGGGAGGTGCGCACCTCTCCACACCCTCAAAATCCGGCCTTGATGCAAATAAATCACCACAGCTAGAAAGAGCATACTAAGATAAGTAAATTATTACAAAGTTTGGTTGCGAATTGTTGCAAAATACGGAAAATATAGCCTTGCAAAGTTTGCAAATTTTGTACACTTTTGTATTGCATGCGAAAATTGCAATTATACAAAAGAATACAAAATTTGCAAACTTTGGAAGGCTATATTTTCTACATATTTGACAACATTTTGCAACCAAACTTTGGAATTTTAGTAATTTTAGTATGCCCTTCCCGGGAATATACTTTTTTTGCTAAGATAAAAATTAGTCTATAATGGGAATGTCTATTGGTCCCCATTACCTATTTTTCTTTCTCTAAAATAAACAGCTAGAGTTTTTGTTTCTCTAAATAAAGATAAAGAGCTAGAGGGGGGGGAGCAAAATTTATGTTCTTGTTTTGCCTGTTGGGGGGGGGGCTTTGAAAATTTTACTTGTCTTAAGAGGGGGGTAACGAAAAAATATTATAACTGTAGAGTTTCTCCTCAGTCCCCCCCTGTACAATAAATAATGAGCGGTCCCTTATATATATATAAGCACCCTGATAGTTCCAAACATCATTTTTTCGATAAGCCGAATATATGCCAATATGGAAACACTATATACGTGATTTATTTTTGGGACAAAATTCGACGTGACGTTTAAACGAGCTTTCTGGGCGCAGTGATCAGCTAGGCAAGCTCCTTTTAACTCTGAAATTAGGGTTCGACTCATTCATCACTTAGTTTATATGAATTGAATGGAGTCAGTCAGCGTTTTACCAAATTAAGTCGCGGGTTTTCTCCGAGTACTTCGGATTTTCCCACAGGGAATGTTGACAAGGTGGGCTGGGAAAGAATCCAAACTAACCCCTTCCACCGTAGCTATATACTCCGTGCATGGTGAGAAATTAGTCATATAAATACGGTGCAACCCATACACAGGCGCCGTTGGTAAGCCAATTGGACTGGTCTGAATTCTAACTGCGTCCTTCATAATTTAGCTCTGAGTCAGTTTTCAGCTATAAATATGAAAAATCCACCATATAAAATATATAAAACATATATTTGTAAACATAAATTAGTTTTTACAGAGTGTCTAAATACAGAACTAAAATTTCACACATACTATATGAAAATCAGCACGGTGTTTTCCCATGATATATATTCTAATTAATAAAAACTATTCCCATTTCCCATAGGCACAGTAATCTAATAATCTAAAACACAAATGCATGCGAGTGAGTGTTACTACCTGACGTTAGTCCAGAAGAAGCTAAAAAGCTCAGCCTAGGTCTCAATTGTACGTAGATGCACGAAAGGCACCATTGAATGTCTCTTTCCACAATTTCACGCATGCAGGAAATCATGCCGTTATTCACGCAATGATAGACACGAAACTCAGTGCTCAGTCTGGAAAAAATATTGTAATTATAGGCTATTATTACTGCGTTAAATGTAAATGATTTCTTCCCTTCAAGAGAGCACACAAGATATTCGCTTATCTTCATTTTTGGAAAAGTATTTGCAAGGAACATGTCACATGATCTTGCTCTAAAATCAATTAATACATCTGGAAAAATTTTCATGTTTCATGTATATCATCAACGTGTTTTCCTATACACTATTTACACTTTTTCTTTTTCTTTTCAATGTAAATGCAATGAACGTCTTAATTTCTTGGGGGGAAGCTGTTAATTCAGTTACGATACATGCCCGCAGTACTGCACAAATGTTCCCTTATTTTGAATCAATTATGTCAATTTAATTGCCACAACCATTCATGCGTCCATGACCATGGGTTTGATTTTAGTGTTTCGTACAAAGTCGTATGTGTCCTTTCGCCGTAAACGAGTTTTATTTCCTCCCGAGTACATTCAAGTCGATCCACAGCACAAGTGTCAGTTTTAAATGTTTGTCCCTAGTTGAAATAGTCGACATCGCCAATATTTGAATATTAATATGCATTTTCCAATTAAGGTGCTTGAAGGTTCTATGGTAAACGAAGCTTTTCTACTTTTGCAGCCGGTAAATAGAGTTGCCATATGCAACACGATCCATGTTGTACAGTTTAATAGTACAATGTTAATAAGGTGAAATTATTTTTCGTTAGTAAAACTTGTCAGGATGATTCAAGTTACACATACTGCTATCTTTGTCCGTATATATACACATACACTGCAACTGCACGGCGATTTTTAGCGGTTGATCAAGGATCTTTCGGTTTCTAATGAGACTTGAACATCACCGGCGATGCAACAAAACGAACAGCACTGATGGTACTTTTACTTCATAACTCCGACAGTGCTGCATTAGCATGTTCTATGTCGTAACTGTTTCTAGTTTCACTTCCCCCATTAACAATAATAAGATCGCTTCAGTTCTTAAAGTCCAACTTAAAAGCTAAATGTTTTCAAGAAAGTTAAGCATCTTTAAATTGTGCGGCTGTTAGGAAAAACAATGTTCCTTTTCTGATACAAGCATGATAATTACAGAATATCTACATTTTGAAAATGGCGAATTGCTACATTGCAATATTTTTGGCAAGTGTAACCGCAGGCATAAAAAAGTTCAAGAAAACCGTTTAAATATCTAACTTTTTTACAAACATGTTTCTAGTAAAAATTAGGTTTTTCATACATGTGCCAACTTTAAATTTTTTGTTTTGAAAATAAATATATAGTAGCAAAAACAAGCAAATTTGGAAAACAAATTGTCGAAAACCTAAGTCATTTTAATATGTCATGCGAGACGCCGACAGTTAACTTTTTAGATTGCTGTACATCAGTAAATGTTTAATTCATAGAATCTATACAATCCTGTAAGTTTCATACTTGTATCATAAAACGAACGATTCTTTTGTATGTTGGCCCTTAATAACCGCATTTATTATTAGCATGACAAAATTACTGGATGCTGATTGGTTGAGAGGAGTACAATTATTTCATTAATTGTACTGCTGTACAATTAATGATTTTCCCAAAAACAAACAAAATGACGGAAAGGTATTTTAAACGCAAGCGTGAAATGAAATTGCCCTTGGGGAACTAGATGAAAATACGAACAAAAGCACCAAATTTTGCTGTAACAATTAGAACTAAATGAAAATACGGACAAAAGCACCAAATTTTGGTTGAAAATCTGGCAGGACTTGGCTTTGGCGAGAGAATATATGATGTTAATATTGATAAGCATCCAATTTTGTCATGCTAATAATAAACAAGTAATCATGCGATGTTGCTCATACAATTAGGGATTAATAGTACTCGTGATGTTTGGAAATTTGCCAAATTGGACTCGCCCCAGCGGCTCATCCAATTTTGCAAAATTTCCAAACATCACTGGTACTATTAATCCCTAATTGTACTCGCCATTGCATGATTACCTATACTTATAAGGAAATTAGGCTGTAATCCTATATCATATATATATAATTTTTGCTATTAAGTGCCTGAGTTAAATTTATAAACTATGTCTATGTCTACATAGAATTATATTCTTGTGTGAGCAATTTTTAACCCTTCATATCTACCAAGGATATCGACAAACAAAATAGTTTGAAGGGTCCTGTCGGTATATATTAAGGGTTTCAAATTGTAATATATCAGCAAAAGATACACTTGGCGAAAAGCGAAATTCAATAAAAAATAATAATTCCGAATAAACAACTTTTAAAAAACGCACACTGAGACATTAAATAAATGAGTGAAGTTTCGTGGCATATCAATTAATGTTTCATCAAGCGCTTTTCAAAAGATGCTTGTTGTTAGAAGTTTCTTTGGGATCGAAGTTTCCAACGACAAAAGTCAAAAAGTATTTTTGATCTATAAAAACGAGATAAACTGAAGTAGGCCCTAATTGTCAAAAATACAATTCACGCGCAAGACTTACGCCCGTATTCTAAAAGCTCACTCACACTCAATGACACGGAGTGGAGATTCAGTCTGAGCTTCTCTTGAAGTGTCAATGCTGTTTTTGAATAGCTGAAGGGTTATTGTCGTACCTTACTATGTGACTACTCACCCTCCAGTTATTCAAAAACAGCATTGACACTCAAGAGAAGCTCAGACCGAACCTCCACTCAATGAGTGCGAGTGAGCTTTTAGAATACGGCCTACGGGCATTAAATGCCATAATTTTTTGCTGGAAATTTCAATCCACGTACATCATTTAACATTGTGAATTTAAAATCCCCTCTGAAACAGTTATAGATATCACATTTTTATAAATTATTTTCAGTGTTGAGGAAAATATCTTCAGTTACTTAAGAGCATCCTCTTCGTTTTTGAAAAGTTGGCATTCTTAAGCCCAACATCACGCCCTACATCATAGACGGATTTTTTTTGGGGGGGGTGCAGGGGGGTGCTACCCCCCAATATTAGCTATAACCCCCCCAAACAAAATGTCCACCCCTCAAAAAAAATTTT